GCAGCATCCCTTCTTTAGAGCAGGACAGGCTGGTCCTGATGAAGGCTGGTGAAACAGGGAGAGGGGGGCTACAAGAACCGGAAACAACGGAGCCAAAAGGAGAATGCGGGGTTTTTTTGCGGGAAAAAGACAAGGCAAACAGCTGAAGAAATACAATCATCGTTGACATTTACTGTTCCCGGCATCATTCCCAAGGCTGTGCAAAGCTATGGCTCATGGAGCCGCAAAGAGCCTGGGTTCCCAAGCACTTTGAGTGAAAAAGGGTTCTTTTAATATCATTTTTTTTCTCCACGAACTACAGCTCAGAATGCCCGCCGGATACCACATGCCCCTCTGAACTAGCATTCCAGGCCAGCCATCTCAAGTGATGCATCAGAAATGTAACATCCCCGTAGCACTGCCGAGTGTCCTGATTATAGAATGGGAATGAGGGCGGCACGCTGTGTGTGTTTGACCAGTGAACTGGAGATGGGATGCATGGTCCCCTGCAGCAGGAAAGGGGGAGGAGGAGGAGGAGGAGGAGGAGGAGCAGAAGAAACGCGGTTAGCTGCAGAGGAAGAAAGAAAAAAGGGAAAATGAGAAGAGGCAGATGAGAGGGAATTTTTGGTTGTGTTGTTTACCACTTGGTCCCCAAGCAAAGTCCTCTAAGCTCCGTGTGGACGCACATGGCTGTCTGGGGACTTGTGGGGGAAATTAGCATTTCTTAAATTCAAGGTGACACGTGCGGAATCATTGAATTATATTAACGCGTGTGTTATTCGGTCCGAGTTGGAGAGCCGTTCGGTCGTCTTATTTCCACCCACAGAAGATTCATTTGTATTATATTAGACGGTGCGTTTCTCCACAGCAACTCTCCCTCCTGACTGTGCCGTGCAATTTTTCTGTCTTCTTTGTCGTTATTTTTTAAACAAAAGTCCATCTCCAATCTGTGCTCCGCTGATGGAGCGGAACGATATCACCGGGAAACAATGTGAGAAGGGAAAAAGAGAGAGAGAGAGAGGCAGTCAGGTGGAGAGATATACTGCCAGGCTCGAACGAGGATGTATGCTTTGGGGGATGACCAGATGGCGGAGGCAAAAGCAGAGGTCAAATAGAGTGATGAGGAAAGTTGAGAGAGACAGTGAAGCGTTGAAGGAAGAGTGGGGATCAGAACTGCACGGGGGGAAGTGAAGGAACACATATATATATATGCAGCTCTTTCCAAAGAATCTGAGGAATCTTTCAAAAAACAGTTGAAGTTAGGACTTTGCCTCTTAAGAATCGCAAATAATAGGGAACTCAATATGAAACACTTCAGGAATCATGCTGCAACCAGTCCTTTGTGTTAAAACGGTGTGCATTTGTTTGTTTTATACAACTTATTAAGCTGAAATCTTTGTGCAATTCACTCTTATTTTCACTTCAAAGAAATATTAAATTCCTTGAGGTCAATATGTTTCTAGTGATTTCTCTTTTTCCTTTTTTTATGGTTGCTATTTCCTATTAATACACTTAGTTGTATGTGTTTATATTCTGCTTATTTTTTCTGCTTTCATGCTAGTCACCCTCGACTGAAAGGTTCACTGTAATTTAAAAGCGTAAGAAATATGAACGCGGCAGAAAATAACAAGGTAGCAAATTGGTTCAGCTTCTTATGTAAATGCAGATCAATTAGAAAGCGATGCTGAAGGAGGTCAGAAAAAACGCTTGTTCATTTCTGTGAGGAATGAACAAGCGTCTTTTGTTAAGCTGATTTGCGATAACAGCCAACAATCTTTCTTTTTCCTCCAACATCACTGGGTTTGTTCTTTCACACTATTTTTCCACAGCAGTTTGTGAAAGTGATGGTTGTAGCCTTGAAGAGGAAGCGCCATTTTCACTGATGTGGGGCGACATTTGCTTAATTAATTACGATGGACAGTTTCTGCTGGTTTCACCTGAAGGTTCCTGGACATTCAGATCACCTACATGCTACAAACGCCTCATGAAATGCCTCATTTGTTGGCCATTACTGATTAACAGTGAGAAAACAGGGTTTCTGTAAAGCACAGCTTGTGGCCTAATGAAAATAAAACAACATTGCCTCCATTGTTTGTGTGTAGCGTAGCATTAACTGTCTGGATCTTCTTACAGCAATGTGTGCATGTGCATTTGACTTCCACTCCTGTGAGCCACGGATTGCTCGTGAGGACAGAATCCGCCGAAGCTGGAGGCGCCGATGGTGCGGTGCTGTTCTTGTGGAAGGACGCCTTGTTTCTGATAAGCAGAGCTGCAGGATGCTGGCAGATCTTGTTCAGTGAGCCTGGCAAAGCGTGTGCCCCAAAAAACAGAACAGGTCATTCTTAGTCAAGAACATCCACTGCCGTTGGGTGGCCAACACCAGGACCTCAGATCGCACCCTGCAACGCGCTACCATTCCCCGCGCAACAAGGCGGAAGCCCGGAAAAGAGTGCAGCCTCAAGACATCTAATGGGGGCAAGAGGGGTGTGACGGGGATATATCTGTTTCCGAAGCTTGGGTTTGCTCAAAGCTCAACCTAATAAGCAGAGGACAGCTGAGCAGAAAGAAAGAGGCTGCCAGGTTTGGTCCCCCTGGGATAGGTTCTGTGTCAGAAGTGGCCCAAATTAAGAGAGAGTGTAGAGAAAACTGGGCCTCAACGAGGACTGCAGCTCCTTCTGCCTCCCATTCAGTGCGGGAGATTGCACCACTCGCCCTGCAGCACTTGCCCACAATGCCGCTGTCCATCTGTTGATTCACTTATCAAACAGTAGAGTTTGTGTGTGTGTGTGTGTGTGTTGCTGAGAATGGATCCCTATACTTTGGGAAAGGGGTCTGTACCAGGACAGATAGGGAGGGAATAGAATTGAAAAGGATGAGGCAAATCCCGTCAGTGACTCCATCGCTCGTTCTCACAGCATCTGTGGTGGAACACGCGAGCACCCGACGCGGCGTCCTCTTGAGTGTCTAAATACTGTCGCCCTGTTTTTCACAAAGACAAACAACAAAAAAACAAAAAGGTTGTTGCGTGCGTACACGTTTGGTTCCAGGTTCACAGCCCAACGTCTCCAGCACGGATCACCTTGATGAATTTGATGTTCAGAGCAGTGTTTGAACAGGGGCCTGTAAGATGGCTGATGCGTCACATCCTTAACAATTGAATCGAGATGAAAACTCTTCAGCCAATCAGAAACAATAATTTAAGACAGCAATTACATTAGATTGGATAGTGCCTCCCTTCCCCTCTGTCGTACTAGAATCTTCAAAGATTACCCGACTATTGGGCCATTGGGAGCGCTTGATTCTTTTTTCTCCCCGTTGAAGTTTTTTCTGGGGGAGTTCTCCTGTGTTCCGAAAGAGGGTTTTGGGACAGAGGACGTTGCATATGTACATATGAACTGTAAAGCCCTCTGAGGCAAATTTGTCATTTTTGATTTGGGGCTATACAAAATAAAATGAATGAACTGAAATAGCATAAAGCACCTGTAGCTCCGAACGTTAGTTTACACATTAATGGCTTGTGACGGACTGGAAGTCAGTCCTGCCTGACGAGTTACGCCGTCCCACTAGAGCACAAACACGTTTCCATTTACAAATGCAGTAAATGGAAATGTTTTTTCCTCTCAAGAAATGTCATCAGATGCACACAATAAATGCAAGAGGAAAAAAAGAACATTGGATTTGTGAAACGTTCATTCCCTGAAGTGGTTGTTATAGATTTGTTCGAGCAAAAACATTCAAATAATGGTGTAACTGTTTCTTTTCTTCTACGTTTGGTGGCCCCACATGCTCATTTTCACAGAGAAGTCTACAGCTTGTTGACATTGACATTTTCTTTGTTCCTTTCTTCCTCAAAAGTGGAGTCAATCTCATCGAAAAAATGTGATATCTATTTGTATACCTTGTATTTATGCAAAGCTACCTCTCAGGTACGTGGCTGCATCAACAAACAAAGACGTCGTGGGCTCAAGGTTGCGGAGAGGGAGGCGGCGTTCACTTTACACCGGAGGCAGAAAAGAGCGGCCTTTCGTAGGAGGCGAGAGGAGCGGCGACGGGCAGCTCGCGGCTGCTGCAAATGCTGCATCTATGTTTGATGAGGGAACAGAGCGATCACCGGTGGGAGCTCCTGGTGGGGGACGGAGACCTTCGGTGATCGGCACGGCTTGTCCTATCCATTGGCTGTCACTGTCCCCCCACCCCCAAAACAAACAAAGCACACTCTGTTCCACTTGCATTTACTGCGGTGGGATTATTTGCCGACATCCTGTCGAGATGCAGATCTGTTTTCCTTCTTATGCAACGCATGCTGTCTTTTTGTGCAGTGTGCACATACGTGCATTTTTCACATTAATGAACGCTATTACGGGGTGTCAAATGGGTTTTATATTGTGATCGCTAGGGATGGGTTTCATTCAGTGCCGCGTCACAAAAATCCTTCCAATTTCTACCATTATTTTCTGGATCTAACGGCCATTCCGGTGGTTTGATAATAATACAAAGTACTACAAAGAAAACGGGAATGGTCAAAAGCAGCAGAAATAGAGATATCCTCACTGACTGACTGACTCAAACTTTGGATCATACATTTCCTACAATGCAACTTGGTTGGGTTTTTTTTTGGACGCTACCTTCTCCTCACCGGCAATTTTATAACACAGCATTCATGTATCATTTTTTGGTGAGTCCAGATGTCATGTCATCATTAGTTGAGTAGTTCTCCTTATCACAATGACAATTCATATAAACCAGGAACGCTAATCAAAGAATCATAGAAGATCAATCAGTTAGCAAAATACATTTTTAACCATGTTTTTAGTAGTTTATTTTGTAATTCATTTTAATACATCACCTTGGGCTGTCGGTAATTAAAATATCCATTGAAGTATTCATATTTTTACAGGACTTGGTCAAATGTCTGTCTACAAGTGCCTGATGTTTTGAGACACACATGTCCATGAATGTCCATATTGTGCCGGCTGACGTCCTAACACTTGTGTCCTCCTGACCTCTCGTTGACCCCGCAGTTTGCTCCCAGTTCTCCCGCGGCGTGTACGCCATCTTCGGATTCTACGACAAGAAGTCCATGAACACCTTGACCTCGTTCTGCGGCGCCCTGCACACCTCCTTTGTCACGCCGAGTTACCCCACCGACAACGAGGTGCAGTTCGTCATCCAGATGCGCCCCGCCCTGCGCGGCGCCGTCCTCAGCCTGCTCTCTCACTACAAGTGGCAGAAGTTTGTCTATCTCTACGACACGGACCGAGGTAAGCGACATGCGTGGGCCTCCGATCGTGACTCCCGGCTCGAGTTGCAGAGCGGAACCACGGGAAGCGCTTGGGAGGCTCAGAACAGCAGCGGCACACCGGGGGTTAGCGGAGGATAGATTTCACTTGTAATAATTCATGAAAGCCCTGTCAGAGCTTGAACTGTTAACACTGCACTATTTTATACAGTAGTTTTGGTTTTATGCAAATGTTAAACTGTATTGGCTGGCAGCTCTTAACTCTCGTAATAGCACATCCCACTTAAAGACGCAGCGCTACAAGGGATGTTCTTTTGGTGTCATCTAATCTTCTGTTTAATTAAAGTTGCAGTCATTGGCTAGTGTTGCACCTGAGATTAGCTGTGGCGCGGCTGTAACTGAAGTGTTTTGTGCACAAACCAAAGTCTCTGACTGTTGGTTGCTGCTTATTGCGATGCGTCAATGAGGGTTGACAGGTTGGACAATAGACGCTGGTTTCATGCAGCAAGACCGACGTGGCGAAGTGTTCATTTCCTTTTCTTTTTTTCACGTCAAACAAGAAATTTCATTATCATTATCTCTCAATGGAATAATGATCCCCTCCTCTTGCAGAAACCAGCACGTGGTCTACAGGGATATATATATATATATATATATATATTCAGGAAATGACAGACAAAGCTACAATATTTCTTTCTCTTTGCAAGGGTGCCAAAAGGGGGGCTGCGTATTCCTCCCGTACCGCGCCCAGCAGTTCGGATGCCCGTGTTTATTTCCTCATTACGGAAAGGTCCAAAAGTGCTCCGAGCTATCTGCTCCGTCTGTGTTTTTTTCCGGCCGAGCGTCAGGCCCCCTCCTCTCCGTGTCTTGCTCTGAGGCAGAATATGAAGTGTGCTTTAGCGCACAGTCCTCACTCTTTGGGGCTCCGGGCCTGTAGGGTCTAGAGCCGAGGGCCTTAATCCTCCACGCAGCCTGCAGATAATATGTGGTTAATTAGGGTCACTCTGACTAGAACACTCATTGGATCTTTCCCTGCGGATGCAAGCAACCCACGCGTCCTTCAGCAGAGCCAATACTAGCCATGCCTCTACTTCTCCTTCTTCTTGCTGGCAAGTGAGACTGTCTGGGGCAGAGTTGGAGACAAAGCGGAGGTGGTGAAATGAGGCTGAAAGACCAAAAACAGAACAAGTGTTAGAAAAGAGAAATGAGCGATGACAAATAGCCATATACTTTCAAGAGGGCATAGAAGGACGGAGGGCAAAAGAGAGGCAGAGAAAGTGAGAAGGAGGAGGGAACAAAACACTGTTAGAATCCAACAATTAAGCCGACAGCAGGCGCGTGTGATTTACAGGCTGTTACCTGTGTACAGACAATTCCCCGCGTACCAGACACACTCGTGCTGAGGCCCATGCCAAGCCACTTTTACCTCTCTCCTCTCTGCCAGCGATGTAAGACGATCCCTTATTAGTAGGAGGACATTGGCCCCAGGAGGGGATTAAAGTCGTTTATTGATGCACTCCATCCAGCACTTTGGGGGGCTTTGACACTTGGCTCATCAAGCAGACAGATGTGTCAGGGAGCCTCTACCTTCGCTTATCAGGTATTGCAGCTCCCAAGGCAATATGGACACTGACTGCTGGCTAAACCAGAGGGAGCGACAGGGGAAAATAGTCTACAAGGGTGTATGTTTTTTCTACCCGACGGCCCTGAGGCAAATGTAAAATTGTCAAGACAACTGCTTTTGTCTGTATCATTTTCTAGATTATTTGAGCTATTTATATTTATTCAATGTATTTGTTTACAGGTTCCCTTTTTTTGTCTGACAAGTAACCCTTCAATTGACCAAATCCGCCATGTTCAGAATGTATGTTAGGTAACAACAAATAACAGTTAATATCGTTGCAAAATGTATAATTCAACTTTTGAGATTAATAAGCGGTTTTAAGTATCTATACATCACATTATTTAGTTAATTAGTAGCTATTAGGTTGCTGATTATTGTAACAATAAATTTAAAAAAAATTGAACTCAGTTTTAAGAATTTTGGATTGAATGTTCCTCCTTAAAACAATCAACTGATCATCATTTTTGAATACTAGATCCACCCCACAATCGTCTTGCAGATGCAGAAGTGTACACTGGAGCACAACTACCTGGTCGGGTGTCACCAATGTTTAATTCTTTGTATTATCTAAGTAATGCTGCTTTGTATCACTTAATTGGGAGTTAATGCAATAGCATTGCCTTGGTAGCTGTGCTATTGCATTATAAAAAAGCGGCCAAAATGTAGAAGAAAAGCCACTAAGTGAACTCTGACCGTACCAATACAACCTCATAAGCGATTGGTTGGGTAGAATTAAAATGTTGCCATATAAACTTTGCTCAGGATGCTCGACACAAATTACCTGTACAATTATCTTGAGTGCTTTTTGGTCTACTCATTTGTGTTGGATAAAAGCATTGATCATCCGCAATCGTGGAAGCAACTTTTCAATTATTCTCCAAACTCTGCTACCCAGGAGAGAAAATGCAGCGTTTTCACTTGCTCAGTTCCACCAAGAGATTTCGGTCAATAGAAAAGATTAATTACAGCCACACTATTCATTTGGATCGTATATTGGGCTTGCAAAAAATGCTTTTAGTCCTTAGTATAGTGCTTTCAGTCAGAGAATGATGGTCCATATGCCTCAGGCTCAGATGTACTGGAGGGAAATTAAGGTAAATTTGTACCCTAAATGCCATTACGAGACCGCGGCATGAAGGCAGAAGTTATGAGGAACTGGAAGCAATTGGAGCTTCTGCAGGCAATGATTTTAATGATTGGTTCCTCTTCTTTTATATGATGTAATCTATTGACAGGGAACTCTATGTGTGTGTGTGTATGTGTGTGTGTGTTTCAACATTTCTCTGCGTAGCCAGAGATGAGAGGTCCAGACAGATATGACCACTGGTGCTTTTGAATCACTCCCAAACATCACACATGACTCAGTGGCAAGAACTGAGTGTCCCCGCAGCACTCCTTCATACAAACACCTTCCTTTACCGAGTCCTCGGCTCTGCAAGAGTGAATGTGGTTTATTACGTCCTTCCAGTTTGCATCAGCAGACAAATATCCCCATAAAAACCTCGAGCTGGATAGGGTGAAGGTAGATGGACCTTGCCCTTTCTGTTCTGGCGGTCAGGTATGGGCAGATAATTGCCAGGTCGGTGCAGCAGAGACAGATGATTATAGGCTTTATTATCTCTCCCAGGCACAATCAACCCTGATTCAGCAAGCTCACCTCTACTTGATTTATGAGTCATTGTCCCTCTCTCTCTTGCTCTCTGCACTGTGTCTTTTTAAGCGTTCTCTTGTTTCCCTCCTACTTGAGAGTCGTGTGAGAGTCAGCCAGCTGTGACTGCGGTAGCACAAGAGTCAAAACCTTTCCCAGTTTTAAGTGCTGCAAAGTGGTCAGGAAGAGACATAAAACAAACCTCAAGTGCTCAGTTCAAAATGACTTAAGTGGAAGATTTAAGACCAACAATTCATGCTCTTTTTAGAAACAGTTCAGACAAAGGTAGACAAAAGTGTGCTTGTCATTTATACCTTTTGTTTTCACAACAGCCCCACGGCTTTCTGTGGCAGATTTTATCAGCTAACGGGAACGCCGTCTCCAGCTGACCTCTTCGTTCTTCAAGCCGACCCTATTTTAAACGAGTCAGTAGCAAAAATGATGTTAGGAGGTGTAAGACTTCCTTAGAGGTAAGTGTCGATGGAAGCCGAGTGCCATCCCTGAGTCGCTAGAGGGTTTCCAAGAGCATCCTAGTTTGAGGCAGAGGGCCACTGACCTTCCCCCATATTTGGAACAGATACTTCATTACTTACTTTTTGCGCTTTTGGTTTTGGTTTCAGAAAGGCTATCGAAGGACCCAACCCCTTTGACACTTAAAATGTTTCTTAAATGAGTAAATTTCCAAATGTAATTCTGGACACTGTGCCCAGTTGTAGTTGCTTCATAATTGCACCCTCGCTATGTGGGGGAGGGGTTGATAAAAGGTCCAATTGCATGCGTGTCCCTCCCTCATGGCTGCCGTTTCACTCTTCTCCATCAAGGTCTCGCCCCTCTGCCTGTCTTTGCTCTTTTTTGTTGCAGTCTTGAGACAATCCTGTTCACCTGCTGCTGTCACCTCTTTATATCCATAATGATGTTGTCAGAGAGAATTTTAGCTCGTCTGACGATATCCATCGCCACACCGAGGTGTTCGTGACACATAAATAACAATGGCATTGTGTCAGCATTTCCTCTAAAATCAATACTACGAATATGATATAGTTTGGAGAGAAACGATCCGACTCGTATCCGCTGCACTCAAGGCACAGAGCTATTTACTTTTTTGAAATGTCATTCAATGTCATAGCCTCATTAGGGCAGCTGGATGTTACATTTTCTATGAACAAAGACCAGCCAGGTGGAAGCTTTCATTCACTCCGTTGGTATTTAGAATGTCCCCCAAATGCCGACAGGTCAATTCAGCAAACTTATGCGGAAAAATAAGGTAGAGGAACAGTATTGATCATTAGCGGTTGCTGTAACCAAAAAGGGAACAGCTTATTATAAAACATGCAAAAATGTGCAAATTCTGACCTACACAATGTGGTCTCGAAAGTGTGTGCATGCATTTATACAGTAGTTGTTCGAGTCACTTGTCTGCCACATGTATTGTTAAAGGTCTTAGAAATGTCAATATTGACTGAAAATCTTATAGCAAAACACAAGTAAGCCCTGACAGTGCAGGGAGGAGTTGAACTACTGCAAATCTCTCCTCAAAGGAGTAATAACGTTTGAACCTAAACCTTTACATGACATGATTATTTGTTTTTTAACACAACATGTTGTTCAAAGTCACACTGATGGTTAAGGCTGAATGGAGGAAGGAATTTTGTCAATGAAAAAATGTAAACCACATTTTTAGCACATGAAAAAATAGCATTTACTTTCTTTTACTTGTTTTACTTACCATGATGAGGCGCTGCGCATTCAT